CAAGAGCTTGGCCAAGACTGGAGAAATGAACTATACCGGTATCTGCTGACCTACCACTCTTCTAAACATCCGACGACAGGGAAATTATGTTTGGCCGGCGTATCAAAAGCAAACTACCTACCATCTCATCTTTTCAAAAAGATCCAGGAGTAAGAGAAAGAGATGCATTGGTTAAATAAAATGGAAAACAGTACGCAGATAAGAGGCGTGGTGCCAGATAAAATTCTATTAAGAAGGGTGATCAGGTTCTGGCCAAAAGGATGCGCAAATCCAACAAACTTGATACGGATTTTAGTAACGAAGAATTCGTCCTGTGACGAAGAATCAGATTGTTCTTCAGATCCATTAAGAGAAGTACATACGTTACCAGATCATCCTGATCAATCATCGTCTAGTTTATCCAAGCAAACCAGACAGATACCAATGAAGTATCGTGACTAAGTGCCACACTAGAATTTATAAATCCATTCGTAAATGTATAAGATCAATGTACAAGAGGGACGCTAATACATTTTAGATATCGTGGGAGGTTTCCATAACGTCTGACAAATACCACAGATCCCTTGATCGCTTCCAGCAGCTTTTCAAAATTCGCCTTGTTTTTGTCGTTTTCATCCCGAACCAACCGTCCTTCTCGATCTGCTTCAAGAAATCGATCATCTTCTTGCTGGTCAGGAAAAAGATGGACTTTTCCCAGAGCACCGTAATCGTATCGGTTAGCTCGTATTCCAGTAGTCAGGTCTGCAGCGAGGTGGATTTGCTGTAGAAGGTTTCCTCGTCTTCGCCGACCACCGTCAGAATGCAATCCACCTTCTGCCGGAAATCATCATGGGAAAACTGTGGTTCCTTCAAGGGGTAAGTCACTTAGCACATTGTGTTGAAATTAGATTCGGCACAGCTTGGTCACATCCATCGGCACACATTGGGCACAATCTCGTAGGCATTGGATTGTTGTAAATAAAATGGGAGCACTGATGAACAACTGTCATTGAAGTTGTTCACAACATTACGAGCTGTTTGACTGTATATTCAGGAACATCCTCTAATTGATTATATCAGAGGAACTCAGACCAGCAGTTCACTTACAGACCTTAATACGAAATGTAGGTTCTAGAGTGGGCTCAAGAGAAAGAGGCAGTTAACCAGACCCCATTAGTACCCTTAATTCAAATAATGCTGCAGCTCACACACAACAAACTACAGAACTTTATTCATCATCCTCTATAATAGTCGATCTCCAACTATGTAACCCACAGGTTCCAACTCTTTCCCGCCGCAAGGCTAGGTTTCTGATCTACCTTTGAGGGCATTATAAAACACTAAAACACAGGACTTTTACTATCCTATAGACATAAAACACCAAAATTTTGTACACCCGCCACTTCACGCTTCACCCTCAATCCGATTTATCCTTGGAATTTCAAACCAAAACATTCAAGGTGTCAGAAATTCCGGGTTGCACGGATGGGTATTTTACAAACAATCGCAGCTTGCTCTATGACCGGCACAATCGGCACACTGACAAAAAAGATGGCCCAAGATTGATGTGCGAAGTGACCTACCTCTTGGGTTCCTTCCAGTTGGCGTAAAGGCGCTTTATTCGTCGGTAGAACGATATTCGACATTTTCGGGACCGTTCAATTATCACATCCAACGGTTTCCGATGCAGGGACACTTCCGATTGTTTTCTGGCTTTTTTTTGTGTCCTGTTAGACTACTGAGACCGCTCCCGGTCCATCTCGTCAGCATTCCTCCTTGATTGTCGCTAGTCCGTTGTTATTCTTGCGATTGTAAACCAAAACATTCAAGCTGTCTGAAATACCGTTTTGCCAAATATGCCATAATATTCGTATTTTGCAAAAAACATCCAGCACAATCGGCACACTTGCGACACACTGAGAAATATGTTGACCAAAGATTGGTGTGCGGAGTGACCTGCTCATTGGTGGTTTCTGATAGATGTCGTTTCAAACAAAAGCAGTGACACCTGATGGAAAAATAAAGCAGAAGCTTGCCAAAATGGTTGATTTATAGGTTCAAGCTGATACAGTCAACTCTCCCTAACTGAATATTGAAGGGACCATCGAGTTTGAGAGAATATCGAACTATGGAGGTAAATTTAATAAACTTCTAAGGACAAAGTGGTCGAAGTAGCCTGGATCGAGTAGCAGGGAGAATATCGAGGTAAAGAATACCGTATGCGTGATAACACCATTGAGCAATGTCAAAATTAAAAATATTCTCAAAAAATTCGTTTTCGAGTTTTTTTTTATTTATTCAAAAGGGGGAGTCTCAGAGTCTTGAACTATGTTAATCATCGATCGAGTTTCCACTTGCTGCAATAAGGGCCTCCACACGCTTCCGGAATGCACGGCAGATTCTAATAATGTAGTCTGAGGCTTGCTGTACTCGGGTGGCGTTTAGAACAGGCCTTGGCCTTACTGACGCGCCATATTGAGTAATCCAGCGGATTAAGATCGGGGCTGGATGGCGGCCACATATCCTTCGCCCAGAACGGAAGATGTTCCTGCAACCACTTCTGAGTGCGGTTCGAGGTGTGGCACGAAGCCCCATCTTGTTGAAATACAACATTTGTCTTCGGACCGTACTGTTCTTTGATCCACGGAAGAACATACCTACTTACTTAAAATCCCGATGTAGACCTCCGTGTTAACCTTGTCGCCTTCTGAAATGAACACCGGTTCCATTTTTTTGCCATCCGAAGCCACCAATCCAAACACCATAACGCTAGCAGGATGCTTGGTCAGATACACGTTCTTGTGCTCGTCGGCCACGTCTTTTACCGGTAGAGAACTAATATACCCGTCGGTTCTGGAATTTGATACGGGATCGACGGTAAACATGCTCTCGTCGGTGAAGAGGATTACCGATTTTTTTCGCTTAATGAAGTTCAAGATTTTCTTGCATCGTTCGACTCGTAGCTCCCGGATGCGGTTGATAATCATGTGAGTTTTTTTTAGTGCCCTCGACTTCACCCCGCCATCTTCCTTTACGATCTTCACTGATCCCGTGTTCCTTTGCCATTTTCCTTATTGAACGCACTGGATTCACACGAATCTTCCTTTTGATAGCAGCGATAACCCTCGGAACCTGAGCTGACCTCGGACGACCTGTGGCCACCTTCGCGGATAGTTGTCCTTTCTTTTCTCGGTCTAAAACCCTTTTGACGTTTCACCGGGACACTTGAAATGTCTTTTTGCGACATTTGCGCTTGGGACAAATCACGAATACGCTGCCACTTCGTCATGGTGCAACTGTCAAACTTAGTAAATCATTTTCTTTTATACACAGCCTACTACGGTATGAGCTATAGGTTACGTGCATGCAAAGAAAACCAAGGCATTGTATGCACAGGTGAAACGGGAACCTTATTAGTACGATGGTGCAAACATTATCACGCATACGGTAAAGATAGCATTTTGCATGCAACATTAGTTTTGCTATAGGTTGCTGCAATATACTGTAAGTTACTGTTTGATAGTAATATAATGGTTTTTGCTGCTGTTCACACACGATGACATCTACTTAAGTGAAAATGAATACATGTAAATGGCAAATAAATAACGAGAAAGATAATTAGTATTGAATTACAAAAAATAGATGACAAAACAAATTTTAAATTCAAAATAATACTTGTCAATTCTTAAATTATATTTTCATACAAGTGTGCTGAAACTGTGTTATTCAAGTGATATTAAAAGCTACAGCTACCCATCATCACTCATGATCAACGCTCTCACAATTAAAGATTTTATCAAAGAACAATCCCGACGCTCGATAAATCCCATCAGATTGACTCTGGCACAATCCCGTTTAAGATATGTCAAATGGTAATATATATGTTGACCTTTTATTTATTTGTCGCAAGAAGCAATAGAAACCGATTGTACACAATTACCCATCAATTGCTCTCTGTTTGTTAAAGATGAATTCAATGGCACAAAATTAATGATGGTGTCAGTTGGCTTCTGAGCGAACCAATTATATTTTCTTGGAAATCCGATCATTAAACGTAAACGAACTCAAAAGTAATCCATCGTTGATCTGTTGCTGATGCCTCACTTTGTGACATTATGCGTAATTAACCATGCGTAATAATTTGTCAACTATTGTGATGTGAATCTGAATCAGGATCTCCCGTTAATTGGTCGCTAACTGGCGTCAACTCGGTTGGCAAGATAACCTTAATTTTTGATGACCATTTGAATTCCTTATCTATCAAAATGCAACACGTGTAAAATGCCAAGCTGTTGATGTGTGTGAACACAATCGTAAAGCATTGGCCAGGTTGTAGTGAAGCGTTCCACTGGAGTGAGAGGCAGATGCATTCAGCCTACACAATAATAGTCATTCATATTTGAACACATTCAAATCTCACATTCAATTGCCTGTTGTACTTCCCAAGACTCGAAAGCAATGTCTAATCCGTATACTCCAATAACTCCGGAGCAACACATTATGCAAATTAAGATGCCTTCACTTGCTGCCCTTAGTCTCTGCCTTAAGGTAGAATCCAACGCCAATTAAATTCATTTGAAGAGCTGTCATTCCTGGATGGGTCCAACAGTTATAATTACGCAATTCACGGAAGATTCTCAAATGTTTCACAATGTCAATGTATACAAACAGTCATCATCTGTTTACAAACTTAGTCCATGTACCGAATGCCATTCGATAATTGGGATGGTTTAAAGCTGTCAAACTGTGATCAAGGCTGGCTTGATCCATCATTGCTTCTTTATTGATGGGTTGTCACCGTTGTCACTTAATTAGCCAAACACCCAACTGACTGTAATAACAATGGCTTATTTTCTTTGGAAGCAATAAGCCTTCTCAGAACTGCCACTGATTGGGAAATAATGCCTGCCAATGGAATGACATTTGCAATACTTGTAGGTGTAAATGGAAGGGAAATAATCGGATTTCCGTCACATAAATTATCTTGATGGGATGTAAATTTCGAAAAAAAAAGAGCCTACCTTGCTCAACAGGAAACTTCTCGCCGCTGCCGCTGCTGTTGACGACGTTTCTCATACACGTGTTGTACAGATGTCGTAGTAGCGTTTCCGGGTCGGAATATTTCAGCCGGTCATACTGCGCGCTATCTTGGGAGGCTACGACGACGGCGGGGTGCTCGTCCATCGCCATGGGAGACGGATTCCTGCCTTGGTTCTCTGAAATTGGATCAACAATAAGAGGGCGAATAAGTGGAATGGATTTTTAAAACCTTGAATCTTGACTGGAAATTTGACCTCTTTCAATATGTTAAAATGATAAACTTGCAAGAGCAATTTCTTCGCTTCTTCGCCAGATTGCTCGATAATTCAGATGCTGCTCGGAATGCTTCAGAAGAAAAGCTATTATCGTGGATAATAAATACGATCCGAATAGAAGGCAAAGTTTTGCCGCACATGTTGCACGCGGTTATGAGAAAACCGGTAAGCATCATAAATATAATTCTTTACACTATCTGAATGCGAGAGTACGAAGAAAACGAACCTTTGTCATAATAAATTTATTATGCGAAGTGATGCTAACACGGTCCGGTTGCGTTTTTACCGTAGAAATTTGATTTCGAATGGTATACACACAACTGTTCCTAATTATATCAAGAATCCATCGAGTAAATCTCTTTAAGGGCACGATTGACGGAACCTTTTTCCATAAAACTTGCTTTACATTTTAACGGGCCCAAATCCTGCGATCAACTTATTGTACAAAGTTAAAAATGAATTTACATGTTTGCTGCAGAGATTCAAGCATCGCAGTTAATCGCATCAGATCCATATGACTTCTACATGGCGAGATTAGTATCAGTGAAAACGCGAAGTGGTTTCCTTGTTCTTAAGAGTGTAAATTTTTTAGAAATTTTAAATGTGATCGAGTAGGCTAGATTTTCATCGAGCAAGAGTCTACTGAATTTCATCAATGCTTGCTTCGTTTACATCTCACACCGTTTGTCACACATAGGGTTTTTGATCTAATTTCCGTCCTATTAAGCACAACCCGCGCTTTACCTCTCTTTTCTTAACGTGTTTAAACAAAAAATGTAATATTGCTGTCAAAGATGGCTTCTAAATTTATTCGCCTTTTTATACGCCCCATTGGATTTGATAAAGAGTCACAAATTGTTGAGATATTGTTTAAAATCTAATACTGCTTTTTGATTCTAAATTCGTCCTACGAGTTTCATTTATGTCCAAACGTATTGAAACGCTATTGGATTTTCTTCGTCCTACGGATAAACGTAGGAAAAGGGGATTCGCTAGAAGCACTTCTTTTGTTTTGAGAGCAATGAGCGTAAATATTGATACAATGCACTCTAATAGGATTTATGTTGTAGCTAATGAATTAACGCATCGGAACAAACCTATTATTTGCCAGTGGTGGCGGCGGGGGACATCCCTTACCATCCCTCTCCAAAGGGGGAGTTTGGTAAAGAGAGATGAGAAAACCAATTTGTACTTTCCTTAAAAGTTGTCCTAGCTCGCTATTCTACTATCTATATGCAATTTTCACACTGCCGTACTCTAACGGAACTATCAACTCTATACTTTCATCTACTCCATCTATCGTATAAAAATTACCACTACAGTCTGTTATTTGAAATTAGCATCTTCAACTATGTAAATCATTCCACTGCGTCCTAGCAAGAAGTACGGTCGACTTAGGAGTCCGCATCGTGCTCTCTTGCCGTGCGGATCTATTTGCTTTTTGCTGAAGGAAGTGTTACTACTACCTAAAGCTACAACAAATTTAAACAGCACTTTTCAGTGCTCAACCTGTAAAAATTTTCTACCTTGTTCAACTCTTATTCCTCTTCGATCCTTGTTTGGACCCTACCCGAGGTAATCCTTCTTGGATATCGATTTGGAAAATTCCTCTTCGATCCTTCAGATTCTTATAGTAATCTGCTTGGAAGTCGATTTGGATAAAAATTTACTGCCGCTATGGCGCCAAAACGCAAAAGAAAGGGGCAAACTCTTGACCCCCCTTCTGATGAAATTAATTTGAGTAATCAATTTGATTTGCTCACGGATGATGAGAATGATCCATCATCCAAGAAAAATTCTAGTAAACTTTCCCGGCTTAATGCCAAGAAGGAAAAGATTCCCCCTATTGTGATAACCACTACCGATTTCCATGCTCTTCGCATGGAACTTTTGAATTTCGTGAAAGTTAAGTTTTCACTACAAATTGGACGTCGGGGTGAATGCCGTGTATTGGCTGAAACCTTGGACGGATTTAAATGTCTTCTCAAGTATCTTACTGAGAAGAAGCACAAATTTTTTACTTACGACACCAAAACTGAACGTGTGTTCAAGGTTGTCATGAAAGGACTGCCCAGTGGTGAATCCCTGGATCAGATCAAAGATGAACTGGCAAAATTACTTGGAGTTGTGCCACTCCAAGTAATCAAAATGAAAATGAAATCCCGTCCTGGCGATTCGCGCAACGGGATTTCTAATGATTTTTATTTAGTTCACTTCAAGTCTAGTGAACTAAACAACCTTAAGGCCTTAGAAAAAGCTAGCCTTATGCTCCATGTCCGAGTGAAGTGGGAACACTTCAGGAAGACTGGAGGAAATTTCCAAAACCTCACCCAGTGCCGTAAGTGCCAGGGATGGGGTCACGGAACTAAAAATTGCTACATGCCAGCTAAATGCATGAATTGTGGTGATTCCTCTCACGCAAAGGACGACTGTCCTGTGAAGGAAGATCCTAAGAAATTTAAATGTTCAAATTGTGGTGAAAACCACAAATCCAATTTTTGGGAATGTAAGACTCGCAAAGCGATCCTACAATCTCGTTCTAACCGTCAGGTAGGAAACGCTCCACGTTTCCGACCAGGTACAAATTCCTCTGCTGTTAACAACGGTCAGCGAGGAACAAATTCTACATTCGTACCCGTAGGTACAAATATCTCCCCTGCTTCAAATGTTTCATCTGTACCTATTCCCCTCGCTGCTAACAATGTTCAGCGAGTTAATGGAGCTACCTATGCTGCTATTGCAGCGGGTAGAAATCAATATACTAACCAACGTTCTAACGGAAATTTTGACAATTTTGACTTAGGAAGCATTACTGCCCCCAAAATGGAATTTTTACAGAATTCATTAATTGACATGATTTCTGATATGCTTAAATCTAACTCCATGTTTGATGCTATTCAAACTGGAGTAAAATTTGCAAATAATATTGTCATGACTTTAAAATTCAGTAATGGATTTTAAAGCATTAAATATTGTAAATTGGAATGCTCGATCTCTTAAAGATAATGAAGACGAGCTATTTAACTTTTTAAGAGTTCATAACGTGCATATTGCCGTTATAACTGAAACGTTCCTTAAACCTGCCCATAAGGTTAAGAAGGACGCAAATTACTTGATTTATAGGAATGATCGTCTTGATGGACCCTGTGGTGGCGTTGCCATCATTATTCATAGACGAATCAAACATAAAATTCTTTCTTCATTTGAAACCAAAGTTTTTGAAACTTTGGGAGTTTCTGTTGAAACAAAATTTGGACAACTTACGTTTATAGCTGCCTATTTGCCATTCCAATGCGTAGGCCAGCAAAAGAATTTTCTCAAGGGTGACCTCCAGAAACTTACCCGTCATAGGTCTAAATTCTTCATTATTGGTGATTTTAATACAAAACACCGCTCATGGAATAATGCTCAAAGCAATTCCAATGGTAATATTCTGTTTGATGATTGTTCTGCAGGTTATTACACTATTCAATATCCAAACAGCCCAACATGCTTTTCTTCTGCAAGAAATCCCTCCACTATTGATTTGGTCTTAACTGATTCATGTCAACTTTGTAGCCAATTGGTTACCCATGCTGACTTCGGTTCTGATCACCTTCCAGTAACTTTTGAAATATCCCAAGAAATAATTTGTAATCCCAACAGCTCTACTTTCAATTACCATAGAGCTGATTGGGAGCAGTATCGAACATTTATGGAATATAACTTCGATCCAAACATTCCTTTGCAAACCAAAGATGAAATTAATTATGCTCTTGAATCTCTGACTACTTCTATAGTTGAAGCAAGAGCTGCCTCAGTACCAAAATGCGAGGTTAAATTCGATTCAATTATAATAGACGATGATCTTCAGCTCTTGATCCGTCTTAAAAATGTCCGTAGGAGACAATATCAAAGAACACGCGATCCTGCCATGAAAGTTATCTGGCGGGATTTGCAAAAACAAATTAAAAAGCGATTCTCTGCCCTGAGGAACAAAACTTTTGAAAATAATATTTCTAAATTAGACCCGAGTTCCAAACCCTTTTGGAAACTCACAAAAATTTTGAAAAAACCTCAAAAGCCTATTCCAGCGCTTAAAGAAGGTGGTAAAATTTTGATCACAAATTTGGAAAAAGCTCAGAAACTTGCTAAGCAATTCGAGAGTTCCCATAATTTCAGTTTGGGTCTTACTAGTCCTATTGAGAATCAGGTTGCTCGGGATTTTCGGAATATTTTCTCTCGGGAAAATATTTTTGATGATTCCTGGGGGACTGATTTGGACGAAGTAAGGTCTATAACTAAAAAATTTCAAAATATGAAAGCTCCAGGTGATGATGGAATTTTCTATATCCTCATCAAAAAACTCCCAGAGAGTACCTTGTCTTTCCTGGTAAAATTATTTAACAGATGTTTCCATTTGGCATACTTTCCTGATAAATGGAAAAATGCAAAAGTTGTTCCAATTTTGAAGCCGGATAAAAATCCAGCTGAAGCTTCTAGCTACCGCCCAATAAGTTTGCTTTCTTCAATAAGTAAACTTTTTGAAAAGATAATTTTGAATAGAATGATGCTTCACATCAATACGAACTCAATTTTTGCAGATGAGCAATTTGGATTTCGCCATGGGCATTCAACTACTCATCAACTCTTAAGAGTTAACAATTTAATTCGTTCAAACAAAGCTGAAGGCCACTCAACTGGAGTTGCTCTTCTAGACATAGAAAAAGCATTCGACAGTGTTTGGCATGAAGGTTTGATTGCTAAATTGAAAAAGTTTAATTTTCCACTTTATATTATGAAATTAGTTCAAAATTATTTAACTGACAGAACTCTTCAAGTAAATTATCAAAATTCCAAATCTAATCGACTACCTGTTAGGGCAGGAGTTCCTCAGGGTAGCATTCTTGGGCCTATATTGT